TTGTGGGTCAATCACAAGGAAAAAGAGTACCCCTACATAATGTGAATAAAAGCTTCGAAGTATAATCTCCTAAATAACCACTGGGCTAAAGTAAGCCTACAAAAGAAGAAACCATCAAAATCGCTCTGCATGGAATCACGATCCGCAAACCAGCATCCTATCTTCGAAAATTCCATAGCCCATTTCTATCTTCAAACAATATTTTTTTTATGTGGTACGGAAGGGATTCCGAAGTGACTCCATTTTCCGTTTTCTTAGATATCAAAGCATCCTTGGCAAGCGCATCAGCTACTCGGTTTTGTTCGCGGAATCAAGATTGAATACGTAGCCCAGGAAAAATAGCTCGACGACATCGACGAACCAGCTGAATGACTTCCCAATGAGGATCCGTCAGACCTTTAATCATTTTGACTCCAATTTCAGAATCCGATTCCACCACCACTTGCGAAAAACCATATTCCCCAGCAAAGACAATCGCATGCAATATCGTAAAAATCTCAATATATAAAACCGACCACGTATGTTCAAAATATAAAGTAAATCCCGTGAGATATTCGCCATTATTATCCCTGACTACTCCAGCTCCTGCCAAGGTAGTCGGTCGATGCGCCGCATCCGTGTTAATCTTCAAACAATTACTCACAGGTTTATGCCAAACCACCCAACTGCCTTTTCGCGAAGAAACCTGACGCAATGGAATATGAAACGTAGCCAAAACTTGCTGCTCCCTCGGATTGCCTGGTGTACGAGAAAGTGAAATCCCGCTAAGAATCGTGAATTGGAACTCCACCTTCTTGATAATACGAGAAGCATTCATCGGGATATCTTGAAATAATGCCGTGCATCGATCTTTCCATATTTCATAAACAATATAGAAAAAAAGACTCAAAGTGCCAATACCGAGCTGAGTGTCTCTCCGAATATCATGTAACCAATTCCGAAGCAATTGAAAGCCAATCAAACCAATGTATGGTTTATGTAATTTGTGAGCAAAATATCTTTATAGTGCTATAGCCACCTCAGATCGAAAAAATAAATGAATTCTATTCTCGGTTTGGGGAGAGACACAGCATAAACATCGAGACACAAGAGGAATCCCGCGTGTTTGAATTTTGTCGTCAAGAGGAAGAGCATTCCATTGAAATCTCCACATAAACGCATTAAGACGAAAAGGGGTATATTTGTTCCAAACTATATCTGCCCAATCGACCACTACCCCACGTTGCCGTCGTAAGTCCCAATACTTGCAAACCGAGAACCGCCCAGATGGAGTATTTGTAAATATTAATTCATCCTTATGCTCCGGTTGAATATGAATTAACTTAATTCTCTCCCATATTTCCGACGAAACCAAATCAGCAAGATGAGATCTCATGTGCATACCTGCACTCACGGAAAATAATTCACCAGTAAAATCCGAGTCGATAGGGGTCCCGAGCCAATTGTCTCGCCAAAAATCAATTTGCCCCTCCCCAATAATCCATCGACTATGACCGCGCAGCACCTGTATATGAGGCCAAATAGCTTTCAACATTTTGGAGCTTAATATAGGTAGAGAACCATAAAGATTACCTCGAATCTTGCTCAGAATAACCCGAGCCCAAAGCGATTGTTTTCGCATCAATTGAAAAGCATATTTACCCCTTAATGCATGCATTGTCTCAACCAAAGACCGAATACCTAGACCTCCCTCACTAACAGGTTTGCAAACCGAATGCCAACAAACCCACGAGGTACGACGATTCCCTTGTTTCGACCACAAAAAAGTCTTCATCAAACGCTCAATCTTTAAAATCACCATCTTCGGAACAACCACACTAGATAATGTATGTATGGGCATACTGCATAAAACGGATTTGAGCAAGGTAATTTTACCAGCAAATGATAACAATTTAGCTTTCCATCCATCTAGTTTGACAGCAATTTGATGAAGTAATAAATCAAAATACGAAGCGCGAATATGACCTTTAACTATCGGAGCTCCCAAGTATTGCAGAGGTAATTTCTTCACAGTACAACCCGTCCAAACCGATACCAAGTGCGCACGTTCCTGTGACATCCGTTTAGGAGTATACACGCCACTCTTTTGAAAGTTAATTTCTTGCCCAGAAGATTTGGCATACTCCTTCAGCAGCTTCATGAAATGGTGCAGCGATCGTTTAGATCCATTGGTAAATAAGAGCATGTCGTCAGCATAAAAAAGATGAGATACGCTGAGCCCACCACGACCTACCTTATAAGGAAATATGGTGCCGTTTCTTTGCCATTTATTCAGATTATGAGATAAAATTTGTTGGGCGAGAATGAAAAGCATAGGAGATAAAGGATCCCCCTGCCGAACCCCTCGAGAAGACTTAAAGTAACCATAATTATCTCCATTTATTGAAACTGAATACCATATATTCGAGATATTACGATAAATGAGGTCAATGAACTGCTCATTGAAACCCATATTACGCATAGCTCGAATAAGAAAGCGCCACTCCAAGCGATCATAAGCTTTAGACATATCGACTTTAAAAATAAGAGTACCTCCAGGAGTTCGTCGATCAAAATCTTCCACCAATTCCTGTGCTAGAATAATACTCTCATGTATGCTCCGACCCTTAATAAAACCGGCTTGTTCCTCATTAATAACTAAATGAAGAAATTGAGATAATCTGTTAGCAAGAATTTTGGATATCAGCTTCCTAGTAAAATTAGACAAACTAATCGGACGAAAATCACCAAAACCTTTGGGCGACTCCACCTTCGGTAAAAGAATCAGAGAGGTCATAGTAACTGAGCGGCTCAACTGATCTCCCATGAAAAAACCTTGAATAAACGAAATCACTTCATGCTTCACAATCGACCAACATCCTACGTAAAAATGACCCGAAAATCCATCAATACCAGGCGCACTATCCGGATTAAGCTGCTGAACCGTTGCCCAAATTTCCTCTTCGGTAGGAATAGATGTCAGAATTGAATTTATTTCTGCCGTAATCGTACGAGGGTAATCCTGAAATAGCTCATCATTAATATAATAAGTCGATGCTGAAAATAGCGCAGCAAAATGAGCAGCCGCTCTATCCCCAATTATTTTAGAATTGGTTTCCATAGACCCATCCTCGTTAGTAAGAACCACACGGTTTTTACGTCGACGGTCCTTGATAGTGGAGTGAAAAAATGCTGAGTTGCGATCCCCCTCTTCAATCCACTTAACTCGAGTTTTTTGTTGCAGCAGCTCATTATTCCATGCCACCTGTTGAGATAATTGATTCCGACGATCAGCCAAACTATTCTCCAATTGCTCAGACCAACCAATTTGTAACGACTTCTCCATATCGGCAATCTGCAGTTGAAGAGTATGAATAGTAACAGAGAGATGGCCAAAAACCTCCCAATTCCATTGTTTGATCTTCTTACGGAGGGAAGAAAGACGACGTTGCAACTGATAACCCAAGTTACCTGTACCACAAGAAATCCAATGTTGAGAGATAAAACTCAAAAAGGATGGGTGGTCAAGCCACATACGTTGGAACATAAATCGACTCTTATGTTTCAATTGTTGTCCCGTAACCATCAGCAATGGAGCATGATCCGAACCCACCCGCGCTAGATGATGAACCTCAATCGAAGGCAACGAAACATGTGCCTCACCATTAATGAGAATCCTATCCAGCCGCTCCCATATTCTTCGACTACCTCTTTGATTGTTACTCCAGGTATATCGATTTCCCACAAAACCAATGTCGGAAAGACCGGCTTGAATAATACACTCGCGAAAATCCTGAATACCCCTCAGATCCGCTGCATTACCTCCCTTTTTCTCATCAAGATGAAGAATAATATTAAAATCGCCTCCAACAATCCATGATCCAGTGCACACGTCACTCAGCGAAAGAATAGTATCCCATAATTGACGTCGCTCATCTCTATTACAACTGGCGTAAACAAAGGTAATCCATGTAGAAGAAATCAAGCCGTGAGCCATCATGGTAATGGCCTGATCCGTAACTGAAAATATGTTAACTGCAAAATCTGTAGACCAAAAAATCCAAATTTTATCACCTGCATGGTAATTTGGATACCCAAGTTTACGAGCATAGCCACCAATTTTATCGTTAATTTGCTTCGGTTCACTAATCCCTATAACACCTGGTTTATGCTCCCGAATCCATTGTGAAAAATACGCCAAAGATTCCGGTTTCCCGATCCCTTGAATATTCCAAAAAAGCACAGACATTAAGGTAATGTAGAGGAGAGATCTGTAATCTGGACCTTTCGAGGTCTACCTGGTTTTCGTTTTTCGACAACTTGCATAACGTGCGCATTTTCCACCTTATCATTCTCATTACCACAGAAAACACACAGTGTACCCTTATTCTTAATCTCCCCCGTATCTGATTGATAACCCACATCCAGTCGTTTAGCTGCTAGAGAACCCGTCGACAAATTAGGAAGCACAACATTAATCTCATCAACAGGTCCAGCCGTTTGAACATCAACTACCGTACCCAGGGAATGGTTTTCCGTGATTTGATTTTCCTCAGTGCCTGCCAATTGATATCCCAAGTCTAGACGAGATGGACTAGACAATTTTTCACTGTTAGAGAAAATCTGTTGTGCGTCAACATGAATTTGTGTAACATGTTTTGCCACTTGTTGTTCCCCATTACCGAAATTCTCCACAGAAAGAAGAGCAAAACGGTTGCCGTGTGAACTCGACATAGATTTTGGGGTTTCCGTCTCCTCGTCACTAAGCAGACCCGTGCCCTTTAGAACTTCCTTCATATCAGCCAATCTCGAAGGGTCAACATCTGAGCGTTTTAAAATCTGCATAGGAGAATTAAACTTGTTCGAAATCTTGTCAGCATTATTCGTGTCGGAAGCCTCACCAGATGTCCCAACTACCTTTTCCGAAGCCAAAAGCTCCTTATTTTCTCCCAACGGTATCACCAGCTTCTTCGGAACATACTCCATTTTTGTTTTAGGTTTTGGCACACTTTGAAGTTTAGTTACACGAATATTCTTGCGACAACATCCTGCCGTATGCCCCAGTAATCCACAATAAGAGCAATACGCTATATTG